GACCCCTGGCCGGGTTGCAGGGCTGCGGCTTGGCCAGCATTCGCAGCACTTGGGAGGGAGTAGCAGCGTTGATTGGTTGCGGCCCAAGCCATCTGGGGTGTTAAGTGCTTTAACTGTGCCTGGGTGTGTTCTGAAAGTCACATTCAATTTTACATGTTCATTTTACATCTGGAAAACAATAGAAAGAATCTCTTTTATAACTGAAGCTACCAGATGCAACTCAGCAACACCCACTGGCTGGTGAGATTGAGAAATGCCAAGTCACGGAGCGGGAGGGAAGAAAGCGCTGGAACTTGGGGCAGTGGTCATAAGAATTTTGCACTTAGAAGGAACTGGATAGAATGAGGTTGGAAAACACTCACCTGAGTGTAGCGGGGGTGGTTCTGGCTAGGTAAGACCCGAGGGAAGTGCCCACTGTCACATTTCCTGCGGTAACAGTGCCCCTTTTACTGAAAGGAGGATCAACTCCAAGATGGAGAAATCAGTTAGGAGGGAGGCGTGTGTGTGTGTTTGTGTGTGAGTGTGTGTGTGAGTGTGTGGTCAGACAATGAAACTGGAATCACCCTGCTTGTGGTCTTCAGAAGCGCCTGGCCTTCCTGGGTCTTAGGAGGCTCCTCCGTGGGGTCCCTAACTCTTGTTTGTTCCTGTCACTCTGTGCCTTCAGCTCCGACGCTGCAAAGGGCTTCCCACAGCAGAGGCCCACGGAGGACAGGGTGCGGCAGTCAAGAGCTTGTCTTCAGCGCCGGCAGACCTACTTCCGGTCCCTTGGTGCTACTCTCAGTGTGAATTTAGGCAAGTGACTTCATCTCTCTGGCCCTGCTTCTTCTGTACCGATGATGCTAGGACCCTCTGAGGTGCGGGAGGAGTGTAGGACATGATATTTCGTGTACTTCCTGCGGGGCCCAGCCCGGAGTGTGGGCTCAGTAACGGCAGCCGGTGCAGCGACTAACCAGGAGGGGAACTTCTGTGAGTTCTGCTTCTGCCACAGGAGAGGAGACAAATGTCAAAGGTCAGGAATCCACTAAGTTTGGGGAACTGAAAAGGCCAATGACCAGGAATAATGACCTTAAGAAAACAGTGAGGCATCTGACTCTTGAAACAGCTCCCAGTCCCTAGCATACCTCCAGGTCTAATGAGGCTGAAAATCTTGCGTGTTGTTTGCAAGCGTAGCAGAGGTAGCTGGACACGTGTCCTGCGCTTAGCCAGCATTAGAGGGAGAAAAACTCCCAGGAAACAGGCCGAAAGGGAAAAAATGGCTGGTACCTTGGGGCTTGTGGAGAAGGAAGAAAAATTAGATGGTGACAGGCCACGGCTCTTTTTTTTTTTTTTAATACTAAAGTTTCTTTGTGTTTTAAAAATTTTTAAATTTTATTTATTATTTTTTGTCTTTTTGAGACAGGGTCTCACTATGCAGTTCAGGCTGGCCTTGAGCTCACTTTGTAGCCCAGGCTGGTCTCGAACTCACAAAGATCCTCCTGCCTCAGCTTGCCAAGTGCTGGGATTACAGGTGTGCACCACCACACCTGGCTTGTTTTTCTCTCTTTAAAAGAAAAAATACAAAACAAAACAGGCCATGGCTCTTAATGTGGCCCTGGGACTCGGCCTTGTGGTGCTTCCTAAGACAATGGCTCCTGGAAGGCACTTTGCCCAGTATCACACCCAGCACCGACTCTGTGTGTGGTTTACTACAAGTAGGCATTTGTTTAATAAACACACAATGGAATGACAGCTTCACACGTTCTACTCCTCAAGGGCCCTAGAGCCTTCTGCAGCATCAGCTGTGACTTACACTACCAGCGCACTCTGGCGAGTTTCTGATTTTGTGTCACTAAGAGGCAGGCAATGCAGTCTGGCCGAGAAGAATCAAAGGAACATGTCCACCAGGTGGGGCACTATGGCAGTTCAGGCCCTGGGACACAGTTCCCAATACCCGCAGCTCCTGGGCCCTCTCTCTGGAGGGCTTTGAGTTTGTCTGCTCGCAGCTGTTGGGGCTTTTTCCTTCTGCTAAGAAAGCCTGAGTAGGGGTGAAGCCAACCCCAAATAAAGCAGAGATGGGGAAAAATGGGCTCCTGGCCCCTCCAGCTGTGCCCTCCTCCTGCTGGGCAGGTTCTGCCCCTGCAGCTTTGCTTTGCCTGTCTTGCAAATTCTCCCCTGTGCTGAAGTGGGTTTGGGGTGGCTTCTTTCGCCCAAATACAGCAGCAAACGTGCGCACACCTTCTGTTTGCTCTGCAGCAACACAGCGGAGAAGCAGTGCATCCTTCTCCTTGAGACGTCAGTATAGATTTCTCTGCCTCTTCTTAAGAGTTAGCCTGTGTTGACCCTTCGCTTGCCCTACTAGAGCGCTTGACTCTAGTCAAAGCTCCCGAAGCTAGTCTCCAATTAATTTCACAGTTTTTAAAATAAGGAGGAAACAGGAATTAGTGAGAAATAGTCAACATTTGACAAAGAGATGGGAGTGATATATGACCAGGTGTTTACCTGCGTATTCACTGCTAGCTCTGGGTTAGACGCTCCGTGACAGAATCCCGCTTTTCTCATACTCGTACTGGAGGCATTTTAAGAAGTAGTAATAAGTAGCTCTAAAGATGGAGAAGAAATTAATTTGCCTAGACAAAGTTTTTGAGTTCTATCAGTATGTGCCTGGGGTTTAAGAGGTATTAAATATGTATTGCACGTCCATTGCTCTGGTAAGAGAATATATCTCTCTCAATAGAACCAGGGGAGCAAATGTACCCTGTCGTTGGGTGCACAGGGGGTGGAAAATAAGCTTTTCCATCCTGGAGGCCAGGAGCGGGTGTGGTTTTCTTGTTTCCATAGGCTTGCGCCGTTCTCCCTTCTTTAGTATATCCAAAATGTTCCCTACACCTCAGCTTTTAGGGTTCAGTTCAGGTCATGTGTGACTTTGCAGAGGTTCCCCGCGTGCTTTAATGATCTCAGCTGTAAAATGAGCAACTTGGACAGTATCGGTGGTTTTGAATTGGGAGGCGGGAATAGGTTTCTTCGTTCAAACAAAGCTTATACAGGACGCCAATAAAGTAAACTGTCAAACTGGAGCTGAGCTTCTAGGATGGGAGGGATCTTTGAGAGCCCCAGCCAGACGTTCTCCCCGGCATTTTCCACGGCAAACACCAAGCGCCTACTCTCGGTGAGGCTGTCCAGTAGCCTGGCTTTTGCGAACGGCTTCCTTTCTCGAGCACCTGCGTTCTCCTGAGTATCTCACACCCCCTGACCTATGTCTGTCAACTGATTTAGCTACAGAGTCTCGTCTTTGAAGCTTGAAACGTCCGCGGGTTCCTCTGGGAAGTGGCTCAGAGCTTGTCACAGAAGGTAACGGAAGGAAGTCCAGGAAGGGGAGGGCATGTGGATTGGAGCCTGTGCGCTCAGCCTGGGGCAGAGGGAGTCGGGGAGGCCGCTGTGCGGGCGGGGCAGCCGGCAGCGCAGACCCCAGGCCCCCACGTGGTCCTCCAGCAGATGTCCTCTTCCGCGGAAGAAGTCTGCATGAGCTGGATCACGGGCTCCCTGTTCAGTACCCCTAGGGTGGGCGAGGAAGCCCGGGCCCCTCATCAGCACCTCGCCTGCCTTCGTGATTTCCTTACCTCTGCGGATAGAATTGTTCTTCCCTGAATCGAGTGCCCTCCCACTGTCACCTTCACTCTGGGGCCCATGTAGGAAGATAATTCACACGGGATGTGGTCATCCAAGGCTGGCCTCAGACGGGAGCCTGCCTAGAACTTTGCGAGGAAGGCCCAAGTTGCAGGTACAGGCGTGGTTGGAGCTCCACCTAGTGGCAACGGAGAGCAGTGCATAGGATGAATGCATATTAACTTTCCCCCAAGGGTAAGTAAATAAATGGGTAAATAGTAATGTAAGGGGAGTTCACACGTCTCCTATTAACAAAGCCAATTCCTTTTAAGTATGCGTCAAAGAAAAACTAAACTGGATATGACTTTTGCTTATTGTATTAATGATTACCAAGAAATGTCAGCGTCATTATACTGAACGCTAATCACTACATTTCTCAGTGAAAAGATTCTCAGCACCAGTCTACTAATACTATCATTCACAAAAGAAACGAGGAGAAATGATGCTGCCGGTTCAGCAGACACTCCTTGCAGAAAAGCAATTCAGACTGTCAGAGTATCTTTTGGAATACTGAATCCTGGTGTTGTGAAAAGTCTAGTCCTATGCTTAGCATTTTCTGAGCCATGGAACTGCTTTCTTTTTATAAAACCTTATTCTGTGCCTCTATTTAGATGTAGAACCTTTAGGGCTGGCAGCAGGGGAAACAGGAAGTTGTGTATGTAGTGTAGTCAGATTTAGAGTACATGTGAGCTACAGCTTATGCTATGGTTATACGGAGTTTTCAGCAAACAGATCCCACCTCCTAACAGTAAGTGCACTATCACACCTTCATAATCCAATCACATTCCAAAAGCCCTGCCTATAGCCCACAAGGCCTCAGGGGACATCGAGATATAAACCATCATCAGACTCCTAGCATAGCATACACGTTGCAGAGGAAATGGTTCCATTTCTGAGAAGAAGGACATACTGGGGACACTTCTTAGTAAGTGATATCAAAGGCGCTATTGTTTCCCAGACCTGCTGTCCAGTGTAATCTGATGCTCTGGATCCTATCCCCACCCAATGGGCCAGCACTGCTACAGTGGCAGCATCCAACCCACCCTTCTCAGTGAGGTCCAGTGGTTGCTGATACCCACCCTCCCTTCCTCCTTCCTGGGCGATGGTGACACATGTTTTGAACTGTCATCAATCAAGAAATATCTCTGGTCATTTTGAGTCAGCCCCCAAGTCCTGCAGAACCTTCAGACACAGAAACGGATGGGGTCACTGAGGTGAGGGGCTCTAGACTCCTGCCTGCGGTGAGAGAATCTATTTCTGGGGGTCAAGTGGAGGACTGTCGGAGACTATGTAATAAAGATGGCAGGGTTGCTCAGAGAAACTGAACAAAGTGAGTTTCACTCTGCTTCACACGTAAGTTATTCTGCATCTAATTTTCCTTTTAATTAAAATCAATTAATCATGTATTTAGACGGTTCACTTCTGCCCAGTTGTCCAGTCACCGTGGTTGAAGCTCCTTTCATCAAACCAACACTGAAGAAACTGGAAGGAAGAAGGAAACATGGATGTAGAAATTGGCAACAAACCATCTCTTTTCCCTGAGGTTAGAGGTGAATCCTGATCTAGATAAATACCCCACTGTTTCTTTAACTCCGTGTGATTCTAGGGGATGTGGTTCTATGGTTTGGGGCCTATCGCCCCTTCCTTTATCCCCCTCCCTGCTGCAGAGAACCGCAGGGTAGCTGTGTTCTGCTTCCATCCCTGAGCTCACAAAATGGAAAAACTCACCACTTGAGGAGAAAAATCGTAATAAAAGAAAGATCAAAGCTGCACATTACATACTATTCTAAGCAAAAATAAGAATATATTCAGAGAAAAGAATATAATAGCAATGTTAAGCAAGAGTGAGGAATTATAAAAAGAGCCCATTGGAAATATGAGGTATAAATAAAATAAGGTGACTGAAATAAAAGACATAGTGTTTGAGAGAGATAGGATAAGTAAGCTGAAGGATGAACTGGTAAGTTGGAGGCAAACTGAGAATTTTCCCAAAGGAGAGTAGAACAAGGTAAAGAGATAAACTCTAAAACAAAAGCTAAGGTATAAGGAGGATAGAAGTTACCAACCTCCAGATAATAGAAGTCCCAGGAAAAGAACAAAAAGCTGAGAACAGGAAGTATGTGAAAAAATGATAAAGGTCATTTCCCCCTAATTAAGGAACTTGGAAATTTTTCATTTAAATGGGCCTATAGCATACTCTATAGACAGTAAAAGAAAAACCCACCCCTAGATATACTGAAAAAAATTAAGAGCTTCATAAACAAAAGTCTAAAACTCCAAGAGAAAAAGCATTCATCCTAGAAAGAAACAGGTGGTCAGATCCCAGAGGTCTTCCCACCAAGTACAGGATGTGTTTAACAGATGGAGAAGCCCACTTTTAATTTACAGTCCCGTATTCTGCCCACTTTCAAGTGGGAGGATTTTCCTTCACAGAAGGTTTGTCGCACTTGATTTTAGCCAAAAGGCCAAGAAGCGATGAAGGTTTGTCACAAAAACCCACCCTGAAAATACTTTGGAGGAACAGTCTCACATTTTCACGTCTGTAAAGCAAACAGATGAATGATAAAAACACAAGGGGAAAACAGGTCACCCAGTAGCTTGGTGACATTAGTATTGTCTGAAACTTAATTTCCTCTTAAGTGGCCCACGGTTGGGATGGTTGGTTTTACTTCCGCAAATCCAGAGGAGGAAAAGTCTGTCTGGATGGAATGGAGGGATGGGAATTCATACAAAGTAGCAGACAAAACCAGGCCCCGGGGGCTGGGGATTTAGCTCAGCGGAAAAGCGCCTGCCTGGCAAGCACAAGGTCGTGAGTTCGGTTCCTGGTACCGGAGAAAAACCAAAGAAAAAAAAAAAAACCAGGACCCTTCCCGGCACCACAGCTTCTCTCACCTCATTGCTCCATGAACTGCTGGTGCTTTAACCTAACTCTGTGGTTTTATTTCTCTACTTCATGGTGTGGCTCTGCCGTAACATCACAGCACCGCCTTCCGTAAGTAGCCCCTTGGATAAGAGTTTGTGGATCCTCGCATGTTTCAGATTCAGAACTCATCTCTCATATGTGTGTGCGTGAGTCCGTGTGTATGCGCTCTCTCTCTCTCTCCTCTCATACACACACACATACACACATACACACACACCTCCCTTGTCCCTAAGGCATCTCCAGAGTTCAAGGCAGCTGGGTCAGGAGATTTCTGCAGTCCCAACATAGGCTGGTCCTAGCTCACTGTGGAAGGCCCTGTCCCCAGGGCTGAGGCAGGGTCACGGGCCCAGCCCTTGTCGTCACTCCTGAGCCTTGGCCCTGGTGTGCCCTCCAGGATGCCAACCTCCCTCGCAAGGGGGGACTGACATGTGCTAACAGCAAACTTCCAGAGGAATGGGGCTGGGGACTCTCTGTCACACCCAGATAACCAGGTTGAGGAGCAACCTTTGTTACCACTGCTACCCTGGTGTCTTGTTTTACTCTTCCATCAAAATAAATCTTAAGCCGGGCACAGTGGCTCGCATCTACAATCCCAGAACCCAGGAGGCTGAGGCAGGAGGATTGTTGCAAGTTCAAGGCCAACCTAGGCTACAAAGTGAGCTCAAGGCCATCCTGAACTGCATAGCGAGACCCTATTTCAAAAGACCAAAAAAAAAAAAAAAAAAGAAGAAAACTGCAAAACCAAAAAAACAAATTTTAGCTAGGAAGGACCCAGGGCGTAGGGGAGAGTCTGCTGAACAGAGAAACTGTGGCAACAGCTCATCGAGTTAGTTATGTGCCCATTTCTCTTTAATTTTTTCCTTCACCAAATAACCCATTACAGGGAATACCTTTGTATACATCAAAGTGACTCTTTTCAAATGTGCTTTTAAGAAACAGAACTATTTTTCCAGAGGAATCATTTTTTACGGAGGCTCACTCATTAAAGATAAAAATGGAGTTCTTTTAGCGGAGCTGTGGAGATGAGGGCCTGAGCCTTCCCCCCTTGCCTCCTGCTTTTCCCCAGCAGGCCTGGACTTGGAGGAATCGGGCAGAGCTCGAGCCCCCTGAGTGTGTGCCCCTCCGTCAGGCTCCTAGTTTTAAGCAGAAGAGGAATTTATTTAAAAGCACTGCCCAGCACTGGGAGGGAAAGAGGAGGACAGGCTGGGAGGTGGGAACAAGGGCCCCAGATCACCTGTAGTGAACACGCCGGGGAGGTCGGGGAACCAGGAACCGAGGCTCATGGCCCGGGCCTGGGCACGGTCAGCTGAGCTCGGGACTGAACGGCTGGAGAGGGGCTGAGCTCCGAGCTGCCGCCACCACCACTGCCTCTCCCTGCCCGGCGCGGAGCCTGCTGGTCCTTCCTCCTCCTCCTCCTGTTCCTCTTCTTCCTCTTCCTCAACATTAATTTGGTTTATTGTCTCCAATCCTCAAGCTGAGCTCACACCCTAGATAGCACCTTCGCCCCGCCTCCTGCCTGGTTACACAGTGCCCTGCGGTCTCTCCTATCAGCGCCTGCCACCCTGCCCTTCCACGCCATTCAGTAGATGTTTCCCCTGGTGCCCACGCAGGCCGCTGGCGGTTTCAGTTTACAATGATCCAACCGTCTGCCCTTGGTCCTTGGGCTCCCAGTCGTTACTTCAGCCTGCGGTCCTCCCTCGGGCCAGCGGGCAGCAAGTTCGCCGGCCCCAAGCTGGCAGAGGGAAGACGCCCTGGATGGTGCTTTTCCTTTATTCGCAAAACTTGCTAAGTTCCTGCTCCGATTAGGGAAGCAGAGGACGGACTTTAAGTGAAGCCTGTTCCTGTCCCGTGGAAGAGCCAGCCCCACAACCTTTAAACGCTTGCCGTTACCTGGTGGCTGATGAAATGACACATAAATAAAAGGAGAAAGTAGGAAACGAGAAAAGGCAAGAACAGAAAAGCAGTTAGTTGTAATTCCACCGCTCAAAAACTGTACAAGTAGCACTTTAAGTTACTTCCTTCTGGTTTTTTCCTTGTGGTTACTTTAGGCAAACAATCAATAGACTTCATTTTTTAGAGCAGTTTTGGCTTTATGGTAAAATGGAAGGGACAGCAGTATATTTGTTCCAATTAATGGGACCGGGTGTATAGCTCAGTGGCATAAGCGCCTACCTGGCAAGCATGAGGTCATGAGTTCGATTCCTGGTACCAAAAAAAAAAAAAAAAAAATTCTAATTCATGAAGAAGTGTGGTGTGCTGTTATTAACCGAAGTCTGTGGTCCGCATTAAGGCTGACTTTGTGCGTTGCACAGCTGTGGGTTCTGATAAAAATGTAAAATCAATACCTGACATTTCAGTTTCGCAGCGAACAGTCTCACCGCCGTCAGCTCCGACCACCGTTGGCTTCTGTGTGCAGCTTCTGTGTTTATTTCTTCTGGATGTGCTGAAGGCACGCCTCCCTCTGTCACCACACTGGGCCTCCCCTGTTGATAAACAGCCCTCGGCATCCAGGGCGCCGTCTGCACTTCGCCCTTCCCTGAGGACCCACATTCACGCTGCTGACCGTTTTCCCTTGTTCTACAGGCGGTTTAGGAATCAGGCCGTGGAAACAGCTTTCCGGGAGTTCGATGGCATTCAAGGGAAAACGTTAATTTAGAAACAGCAGAGTGTGGCGTCCCCCAGCACCTCCCAGACAAAGGGCCTTTGTCTGCAGACGGGAGGCCTGGCCCGCTGGCCTGGCCAGGGCCGGTTTCCGCGTGCCTGCCCGCACCCAGGGGACAGGCAGGGACCACGCTGGCCTGCGCCTTGGCTTCCCTCCCTCCAGGAAGGACGGGAGGCACACGTGCCCGCTTGCTGTCACCCGTCCAGGGCTCCTAGAGCCTTTACACCCTGCACCTGGCGCTGCTTTTATTGTTCCTTTTTTTGGCTCTTGGAATGGGTTGGCTCCCTCAGGGAAAACAGCCCCGCTGCTCGAGGAAGTGAGCTGGGCGGCGTCGAAGGTTTGATGGAACGGGTCACTCCGATCACCCAGCAAGGTCAGACTGCCTCGCGGGGTCTTTAGACTATGTCACTCTGTACAGAAGGCCTCGCCAGCGGGCAGACAGCAGGCGTGGTGACCTCCGCCACTTCTCACGGAAGGGCACCCCAGAATTAGTGAAAATAATAGTTGCTTCTTTCTTTATGTCGGGGAACCGATAACCACGAAGCTCAACGTCTGCAGCGCCCTGGCATGCCGCTTTCTTACCCGGAAGCTCCTGTTTTTAAGCATCTGTCATTAGTACACGTTCGTGATACGTGGTGAGCATATTTATCGTTGCGGACTCGGTCCCCACACACCCGCCTGTCCGCCTCCCTGCTCCCTTCCCGGCCCTGCTGCTGCCCCGGTCCCATGTCCACTGTCCACCCCCTGCTCCGTGCGGCGGCCCCAACCCCACATTTCACAGCGGCGCCTCCTCCTCCTGCGCCCCAGGTCCCCAGCGGACGGGCAGGACTGGAAGCCAAAGCAGGCCAGCGCTTCGCAAGCGCACTCAGGGCCCCTTCACAGCCGGTGGGTCCCAGCGGCCCGGAGCCACTGTGCGACCTTGTTTCTTTTGTGCCCTTGGAGTCCGGCCTGTCCCCTGCCCTCTGCCCCAGAACTCTTTGTCCCAACCACTCCCCAGCCCCACGTCCTGGCTCGAAACAAAGCACCACGCGCAGCTCTGTCCGTGGCAATGAGTGGCGTGGTCTGGTGGCCACGAGTCAGGTTGGCCCTGAAACACGAAGGAAAGTCTACGATGGCGCGGGGATTCTGGCAGGTTCCCAGCACCCGGGAGCTCCGGGAGCACACGCCTTGGGCCCTGAAGACCTGGGCGTGAGTCCTCCCTTTTCCGTCCCTGACGCCTCACCTCAGGCAGTGACTCCACAGCTCCGGGCCTCGATTTCCTTTGTTCCGGCGTGTATCTCATCGAGCACCGGAGGGTTCTGTGGAGCAGAGCAGGGTAGAGCGCTCAGCCCCCTGCGGTGCGGGGAGGCTCTCCCCGTGCTGTGGCTTTCCTCGCCCAGTAGCCCCGAAAATCCGGAGCCATCCTTCCCCGGGCCCCGTGTTCCCAGACGGTCGGCAGACGCCTCTACATTGCCAGGCAGCAGTGCTCACCTTACATACTGCTTACATAAGAATTCCATTACGAACTGTATATACAGACCCGAAACTTTAAAGATATCGGTTCTTTGGTAATTTTCTTTTCTTCCCCTCCCCTTTTTAATGTCTTTTTGAGACAGGGTCTCACTATGCAGTTCAGGCTAGCCCTGAGCTCACTTTGTAGCCCAAGCTGGTCTCAAACTCACAACGATCCTCCTGCCTCAGCCTCCCGAGTGCTGGGATTACAGGCGTGCGCCACTACGCCTGGCTTCAGTAATTTTCTTGACTTTATATTTTTATTCTTAGACAAAGATCACGTTGTTCGTGGGGAGCTGGGACATGTACCTAACACATCTCAGTTCTTCTTAGGGCCCCTCCCCTCTCAGCACCCCCGTCTCTCCTTCTGCTTGCTCCTAGGGCTGGATCGGAGGAAGGGTCTGTATTTCTGCCAGGGTTTTGATTCTTTCACCCACACCTGCAGCTCCTGCGCCCTGCGCCCGGCAGGGGGCGCTGCGCGCACGCGCTGCCCTGCTTGTCCAGAGCGGGCCGGAGCGGTGACACACGCGCCTTTGTCGGAAGCAGGAGCATCTGGCGTCAGCGGCCAGCGGGGAAAAATGGTGCTTCTGCCTGGCTGGGCGCGAGTTCACGTTTGCTCACCAGTGATGCCGGCATTTCCAGGCACAATGAGTTCATGCGAAACTGCAGGACCTTGCCGTGACTCAGACCCAATCTCTGTAAACTGGAGTCCGACTACACTTCCTCTCACTTTGGGCTGTGATTTGAACTTTTAGGTCATCAACTGTTTCCGTGCTGGCCCAGGAGTTTTGAGTATTTCGTAAGCTCTGGGCGGGGTGGGGGCAGTCACTCGGGGACGGATGCGTAATGGGACTTTGTGTGAGTGGATGATGCGGGCCTTTTCTTTTTTCTTTTAGACAAGGCCTTGCTATGTAATTCAGGTTGGCCTTCAATTCACTATGTAGCCCAGGCTGGTGTTGAACTTGTGGCCATCCTCCTGCCTCAGCCTCCCAAGTGCTGGGATTATTGGCGTGCACCCACCCCAGGCTAGAAGGGTTATTCTTAAAGTAGATCTTAGCAACTTCAACATCTGGATTCTTTCCCCTTCCGTTATTTAGTGGGGAACTGTCGGTTTATTTTTTTATTTTATTTTTTTCAGAACTGTCAGTTTATAACTTAAGAGAAACACCTCATAGCTTCTCTTTGGCAGATCTGAATTGGTGGCACCATTACTCTTGTGTTTTCGGGTTGTTATTAAATAAGATAAGGGTTATTTGGACACAAGCACTGCCCACCATGATGGCTGTTCTATTAACCATAATGGTGACTCAGCGGCAACTGGGTGAGTAGTGTATAGAGTGCGGATACGTTGGACAAAGGGATGGTGTCTGCCATAGACCACACAGCAGGGGCAGGGTGAGCTCTCACCACAGTACTGTGAAGGATGTGCAATTTAAAACGTAGGGACTGTCTACTTCTGGAATTTTCCACTTACTATTTGGGAACATTGTTGACCATGAGGCTAACTAAAAACCACAGAAATCAAAACTGTAGATAAGGGGTCAACTGCTGTGCACTGTTTACATGTTCAAAAGAATTCAGTGTGCAAATCTAAGAGAAGCGTGCCACACATTTTTTCTGGTAGGAAGCCCTGGAGGGGATTTTTCATGGGGACAGGGTCGGCTGGACCAGGCGTGGGAGCAGGAATGCAGGTGCCTCGTGAGGAGGGACGACGCAGCTCCGGAGTATCTCCTCTCTCCTCCCCCTCCTTCTTCTCCTTCCCTGTCCCCTTCTCTTTCTTCTGTTCCTTCTCGTCCTCTTTCTCCCCTTTCTCCTCCTCCTTTTCCTCCTCTCCTCTTCCTTTTTTCTTCTGTTTCAAAAAATGTCGTGGAATTGGTCAATGACAGCATTTGATCTTCTCTGCAGACTTGGGCCACATTTGATACTGTGGGTGAAAGAACGAAGGAGTGGTTAGAAACTGGAGAAAGATAACAGAGCTAGGAGGGTTAGGAACGGTGTGAGCAAGTGAACCGGAGGAGGCTGGGTAATCACACCCTTCGTTCACGCCAGGAGACCCCTGAAGGGAAGCAGCCCAGGAGGGGGAGGGGGAAACATCAGCAGGCCTGCGCTTGCCTGGGCCCGGTGAGGGGGACTCTGCCACTTGTCCCTCTAGTGCCCTGCTCCTGACACCTCTGTCCGTATTTGAGGGGAACATCCCCTATGGTCCCACGCACCCTTTCCTAGTTCAGGCTGACTGGGCCCCCTGGAATTTTTCTACTGATTTTGTTTTTTTTTTTTTTTTTTGGTTTTTCTCCGGTACCGGGAACCGAACTCACGACCTTGTGCTTGCCAGGCAGGCGCTTTGCCGGTGAGCTAAATCCCCAGCCCCTTTTCTACTGATTTTAATCCCCTTTCTCAGCTTGTGAAATCCCAAATCTCTGTCTCTCAAAAGTTTTCCATTAGAAATCTCTGTGCCAGGATGTATTTTTTTTTTTTTTTTTGTTTTTTTTTTTTTTTTTTTTTGATCTTTAAGGTTTTTATCGAGGGAAAAAAATCTTGGTGACAGGATAACATGGGAGGCTTCTTGCCTGTGGCCTCTCCCGGGCCTGCGCTCCCATCCTGGCTTCTCTGGTGTGTGCTTCCCGGTTGTCTTGTCAGGCTCCTGCCTTAGTAGAATTGG